GTGTGGGAAAACACTTATTTACAGCTGGTTGTAATCTTGTAATCTGTATATTTATATTTGTATCTCTAGAATTAAGTATTTGTATCCCTAGAATTAAGGAAGATTTAGTTTCCTAGTTTAACCCCTAGTTAGTTGTATATAAACCTAAGATTCCTGTATAATTGTAGATAAGCAGTTTTTTCAATATACATTCAGTTTCCACAAGATGCAAATCTGTAAGAAAAGGAAAGTTAGAGTAGATGTTGATGGGTACAGTAGGAAAGCAAGGCATGAGAAAGACAGGAAGCAGATTTACAGTAAAAGATGGAGAGAAACAGAAATGGATAAATTGGGTGTTGTTAAGTTGATAGAGAGCAAAGCAGACAGAATCACTTATGAGAGGAGATTGGTGAGCTAAAATCTAGTTGGGATTTTAGAACCTAGCAATGAGTGAGTTTCTCTCTCATAATCCTTTCCTTTTGGTCAAAATCCCATAATTCTTTATTGTGTAGCATGAAGAATGAAGCATTTGTGAATTTGATGTCAAAAGGCCGTCAAACTTCAATTGTGTATTTTAGACCTTTAAAACACCCACTTCAAATCCTGTCTATTTTAAGATTTCTCCCATTTTTTTAGTCAAACAAGGTAATTGCATTTCAAAATTTTGAAATCCTCATTGGAAATGAAATCACTCTTACAAATGAAACATCAAAAGGCACTCTAATTGACTATCAAAATCCCAGAATTCAGCACTCAGATTCAAACCTACCATAAAACCTAATAATTCAGGTAATTCTCCACCTGCTTTGCCCTCAAGTAACCCTAAAAACATATCTCAATACCCTAACCACCCAGCTATCCCGCATCAACTCAAGTATATTTTCCTATTCAAAATGTATGTACAAGTTGCAAGGATAGATTTGAAATCTGTACACTTCCAATAAATGCAACCTTTGATATTCAATTCCTCTGGACTTCTAAAAGATTCAGAGCTACCTGTCACCAGTACTTTGGTCATTATATTTATGCAAAATATATACTATAACATGAGGTTATGAACTATATAAAATGTCTACTTCATATTTTGATAAAGGAAAAAAACAAAAAAAAAAAAGGTAGACACCCAATTTCGTAAACTAGCATGAAAAGTACAGATAATAAAGCATTCAAGAAAAGGCAATTCTAGAAGGTATTCCATTTCTCCAAAGCTTACGAATTGCAAAGCCTTGTTGTGAGCACCAAACTTCAAGATTTTTGAAAAACCATAGACATAAAAATAAGAATTTCTGCCCCCCCCCCCCCCCCCTTTTTGTGTTGTTTGGGAGGGGATTGGAAGGTCTTTTAACTCCTGCATCCACTAAAAAAAAATTCTTCTTCTAAAATTTAAGGGAAATAACAAGGCTCAATATCACATGTTTCTTTTTAAAATTCTCATTTGGAAGCAAGTTGGGCAGTTTTTGGGAGAATCTCCCAATTCCCGTAAATTATTTTTGAAACTGAGCAGTGCTCAGTATCAGACAAAGTTAAGTGCATCAAAAAACTTTACAACCAAACATTCTCAACGAAGAGATTAAAAGAAAAGTTCAAAATATCAACACGAATTGCATCTTGCATCATCATACATCCTCTTCAAGGAAGTAGATTGATTATGACATAAATCCCCAGTTAATCATCCAAGTTATGAGATTTATTATGAAGATGCAAGACACCACCACAATTATTTGGCATCTCAACATTAAAATGTATAAGACATATTACTTACCTGGCACACATCAACAATTATCGAATCATTACGAGCAATATGATTAGCCCAATACTCATCAGCGACTTCTTCATCTGGACGGCCATCAGCATCCCTAGAGTTTATATAAGGTTTGTGTTTGACTCGATTCAGATCTTCATGAAGACCATCAAGCAGAAATGCTAAAAGCTCCTGAAAAATTGTTAAACTGATAAGCTAGTAGAACTATATGCAAAGTGTGGATTTAGCAAGATCTTAATGTCAAACACAAACCTGAGAGTCATGCTGATTGTATCCACTGAATTGTGGTGCAAAGCGGGCAAGCTTTGCTTTAAAGGGCCGAGGGGCAACTGGTGTTCGCCCAGGTGCCCACAGTTTTCTCAGCAACTCACCAAATGCTAGAGCAAGCTCACCCTACACAAGAACCAATTAGTTTAGAAGTCAATTAACATATTAGTTATAAAACAAGCTAAACTCTTCAAGGAAAAATAGCATGAGATTTCAACAACAAATAGTCCAGTAACAACAAAGTTGAAACATATCAGCAAAATGTTAATGCACCTATTTTCCACCATTCTGACTAAATGATATTTGCTATGGTATGTAATTAAGAGATGCATAATAAAAAGGTAGGACATTTGCCTGGAGGGAGTTGACATAATAGTGAGCATAAACAATTTGTTCATTTCAGCACAAAGTGATCATTATCAACCCGAAGTAACCACTTTGCAATGAACCACATGGAAGCAAGCATGGTCAGCTCAATATAATCAGTAAAAGTGCCACAATCCTTATAGAGGTGCAAGCCCTAGATTCCAGGGAGCACCCTTTTGAAAAAGGAAAAGGCACCCCTCAGTAGCAAACTAAGAGCATTTTCTCGAACGTCACAATCAAACTACAAAGAGAAAGACATGAAAGATTATCCATATAGAGGATATAGAAGTTGAATGAAAGCTAGAGCTAGAGAACAATAATGACTTTTAGTTTAGGATAACCCTGATCATACATAACATAATGGAAAACTCATTGGGCATTTATTTTAAGCTTTTTAGATATAAAACTTAGATATTGCACAAACACCCTAAGCTTGTATGTGCAAGTGTGTCTGTATGTTTACATGAATTAATTTCTTTTTTTTTTTTTCATTTTAGAAATTAGAGCCTTGCTTCACTTGAGAAAGAATCCTTTATACACAAGCTGTGCCTAATGCCTTTGACTGAATTGGATACAATTTTGTACAAACACAGTACCCATCAGAAACATGTTAGCATTGTTAAAAGATTGGGTATAGTATAGCAATCTATGATTATTACCCAAATATCCCAGCTATACACCACCAATTATGAGCTATAGCTAGGTTATGGATTTGAGTGTCATACTCAGAAACTTCAAGTGATCTAGACAATGCACATGGCTCTACATGCTCATAACACAATCTTATAACGTGCGTACAGCTCTGCTAAGATTAGCTGTGCATTTAACTATAGTATCCACAGACCATTGAGAAATTGTGTAGATGATTACATGTAAACAGGTTGACAGAAATGTATGACACCAATTAGTTATTTTCATAAGCATGTTCTCTGCCTCATCCATACAAGTAATAAACAAGGATGAAAACATTTTGTTGTTTTTAAAGTGTTCAACACACCATTATTTTGAGAAGTTAAGTTTTGATTAAATGCTAGCAGTTTTTTTGAAAGTGAAAATATATACTTTAAATATTGGTTGATGCATACACCTTTTACAATTTGCTTAACATGCTTCTCTGAGTTACATACAGCAGATGCTTTTCTCTAAAGGTGAGTCATGCATGCAGTAGCTACCAACAAGCCTCTAGCAGTTCATGGACACAAGTCCAATAGACTACACATAACTTCATAATACACTGAGGGTCCAGTGAAAAAGGCAGGCTAACTGGGGGTGCAGTGCAGCGGGTAGCACACCCCCTCCCCCATTGCACTGCACAACCCATCCAAACATACCCTAAATATCACAATGATTTAGGGAACTAAAATCAATTAGTTCCTACAATTTCAACTTTAGTAGCAACACTAAATTCTGTATTTAATTCAACAGTCTGAAATCCAACTTGATTGACATCAATCAAAGATGTAAAAATCACCATCAGATAAAACCACCAAAAAGTGAACACCGCTGATCAACTTTGATGAGTCAAAAACCTTTACAATCAATGAATCTTAAGAAGAGCACACCAAAACAAAAAGCAACTTTAGATCATGTTAACATTCCAAACATGAACACTCTGGAACACTATGGGGTCAATATATATATATATATATATATATATATATTGCCAGCTGAAGTCAGTAATTGACTAACCACAATTTCTAACATTCACTTACAAAATATAATATTGAACACCCTTTGTTCCCTGAATACCTCAACCACAAATATGGAAACTTCAAAACACTTGATATAGGAACTTACATAAGATCTATAGATTCTCATTCGAGGAAAAGAACAAACACAAAATTTCTATATGCGTGCTTATACTTATTACCAAATGATATAAACATCGCAAATATTAAAAATAAAAACCCTAGGATGTAGAAAGCCAAGACAGACGGGCTCTCAAAACACAACCAATATCCTATAATGCTCACTGACCAATAACAGATCAAGTAAAAGGGTTCAGTTATTTGAAACCTTTCCTAAAGAACAATATATTATTTTCCGTAGTGCCCAATTAGTTTAAATCCCAAATGTGCAAAACACCTTTAACCTTTATTAGGCTTTTGTACTATCTGCATTCTATCCAAATAAGCAGAGCATAGAATCTGAATAAACAGATATGATTATGAACATCCATTCATACAATCTTACAATGTGAAAGTAGTAAAAGTTAGAGCAAATCAAAGAACAAAAATTACTAATGGCCGAAGTTCAGGCACTATATAACTGGTCAGCCAGTATCGTAGACCATCCTTGCAGATGGAAAGGTCAGAAGAACTTTGCCATAGGATTAAAGTTGAACCAGCCAAATGGAGAATGCTTCAAAATGTTTTCCTAATATCAAATGCAGTTACAGATAAATGGAATTGCTTCGAGGACAACAGATAAGATAGGAGAAACAAGAAACTTAGAAGTTTAGCAGCAGCAGTAAATGCCAAGATGAAATCACAAATTAATGAGGTGAAGATCACGTACTAATACTGCATCAAGCACCAGTAAAACTAATAATACACAAAAATACTCAAAGGCAAGAAAGGAAGCAGAGAAAATAAAAGAGAAAGAGCATTATCCAATTCTAACAACAAAACATCTACTTAATCAACATCGTGCTAAGTCAACCAAAACTGATTTGAAAAAATTAAAACACAATTGTTTCAGTTTCCAAATTCCAGCATTCAAGGGAGTTTTAAAGTTCTGCAAGGAAGTGATCCTATGAAAAGGATTACTCATTCCACATCTATTTTTGGGGGTTAGAAACTTACAACCATGCCCAAAGGATTTTGCCAATTTATCTCCTGATGATAGTCTTCCCGGAAGTATTTAGCAAACTCTGGTGTATGAACAAGGCACTGTATTGCACTATTCATGAAGCAAGTATTCCCAAGATTCAGCAGCCCAGTCAAACCACCAGAAGCCCCCCTAGTAATAACACCACTGTTCCCATAATTGTTATCCAACTCTTTACCAGGATAACTCAATGTCTGATTTTGCAATTGCTCTGCACTATAACCTCTTGATGCAATCTTGTTTGCAGACAGACCTCCTGCAATTGATAAGCTTGACTTAGAAGGCTCTAGAAGTACAGAAGTAGCTCCCTTATCTGCAAATCCATTGTCTGGAAAACTTATACCGCCATTTAGTGCAGTACCATTAACATTGTTAAGGACCTCCACTAGAATCTGTTTATATTGATGGCAAGAAAATGATAGGTTAGAACATGAAAAGGTTAATAATTAATCCTAAACCAAGAACCATCCTCAAATACGTATCCATTTCTGTACTCTATCCAATATGTATGTGCTTACTTGGATGTGTCCAAAGAAGTCTGAGCATACATATTATTTGTGCATGGATGGAAAGATATGAAAATGTCTTTACCAGTCAAGTTAAAAGGCAATGATTGTTATAATAAATAAATTACTAAACCCATAATTCTGTACATCATTGAGACAGCTATGCCAAAAAGACTTGGATGAAACCAAAAGGGTGGAATGTGAATATGCCTGATATATGAGAAATGGATAATAAATAGCACACAGTGGTCACCAAGAAAACATGTCAAGGAGGCCATCCATTTTTTGGCTGTACACAACACCACAGCAGCAAAAGACAAATATTGCAAACCCATGATACTAAAGGTAAATCGATGAAAATAATTGAACATTTCTAAGCAATTTTAAACTCCATATACTGCAGACAAGGATAATAGTGGTCTATGGTTCTAGGTTCAACACAGCTACAAAAGAAGGCTATCCATTTTTGGCTGGACACAACACCACAGCAACACAAGACATATCGCAAACCCATGATATTAAAGGTACATCGATGGCAATCATTGAACATTTCTAAGCAATTTTAAACTCCATATACTGCAGACATGGATAATGGTGGTCTATGGTTCTAGGTTCAATGCAGCTACAAAAGGTGTACCACCATGGCATCTAAAACATCCTTATTTTTGTTCCATTCCATCTATCCAACAACAACAATAGATAAATTAATTCTTACTCAATGCTTTTGGCAATCAAATAAAATACTCTGGAGATTGAACAGCCACTCCTCCTGTGACAAAGAAGGGACTACATAACCCAAGAAAGATGATTGAATATAACCCATAAATGGAATAAACTTTTTCCCCCTCAATGGCTTCCTAATGAAGCATCTAAGAATTCTCAACTATCTGCATGTACATATTCATAAACTTTGACCAACATAACCATCCAAACATAATATCGGTCATAAAGACAAGGATAAGATTTGGGCATTCAGATTATGCTCCTAGCACGCATTGACTGCAGTGTTAAGGCCTAAACTTCACAGCAGAGAAAATGGGATTGAAGCTTCCAAAGACACAATACGACACAATATAGCAAATGGCAACAGATGACAAAAGACTGCTTGTTACACAGATGCAGAAATAATAGAATGTGTCACTAAAGCATGGTAATATGCAGGAGAAGTACTAATTTTCAAATGATTTCTATTTTTAGCTTAGTTGATAGAAACCTTAATTTTAGACATTAAATTACATATTAATAAAATGTATGAAATTTTTTTTCTCAAAATTCATCCGTTTTATATTGTACATAGGGCAGAAGCATCAAATGCAGAATCCAATTTCAGATGTTTAACTGGTTTCTTTATAACAGACACAATAGTCGTAAAATAAAATGATAAGTAAGTGTTGCAGCAAAAAGGACCCACATCCTGATCCATCTGTATGTTGGCATCATCAAGTGTTTTATCCATGTCATTCATCAAAGCATGCTTCCGATGACCATAATAATCCCAAATAGAAACCTGAAAAAATAAGAAAACAAAAACACTAAAGAACTTGAAAAGGAAAAACAATTTGAGGAAAACAAAAACAGAAAAGGAAATAATCTTGCATCTGCAAATTACTTGTTCTAAGTCGAGATAAAAAATCTCACATGCTCGCCGGTGAAGCTCACCAATGGTTTCCTGTCCAAAATAATTAAATCTTCAGAAACTAATTATTCTAAATAAGTGCAATGAGAGCAGCAGTAGAGATAAAATAAACGATGTCTCATAACTAAGTTTCAAATTATACCTTTTTACTTATTCTTATAGTAGAGCGATCACCTTTTGGTGTCGCAAGAAGTTGCAGACGCAATGGATAAACCTCTACAGCAAACTCTGTCTGAGAAAGACCTGAATTAATTACTTTTCGAGACAATGTCGGACCACCACCATACCTGAACGCAAAAGAGATTAAATGATTCCTCAATACATCAGCAAATGTACAGTGTAACTTTCATAATTTAAAAAAAAAAATAGCAATAGCTTGCGAGACAATAATAGATAAATTTGAAAGAACAAAATCAAAAGGAACACACGCACAAATTTAATAGCAATAGAGCAAATCATTATCAATACAATGAAGCCAACTAAAATGGTCCATAAGAATGGTAAAGAGATCAGTTCCCACCACAAACACCATATAAACTAGGAAGTGAAGAGAACAGAAAGAGACAAATTGGGGTGGGAAGAGGGGGTTGACAAGGCAATAAGGCTCTTCTTGTTTCAATTATTCAAACATAAGATGCAAAGAAAAAGGATATATACATTGTATAGACCTTGTTTGATGAAGGGCTACCAAGGAAAGGATAACTTATGATCTATTTCTACAATTATGTCCTCCATAAGTGACATATACATACATAAGGGCGCAATTAGTGTATGCAATCAAAAAGTTTTAATGAGAGATCATTCTTGTCTCATCCAAATTCTCCAAATTCAGAAGAATGGAAAGAATAGATGTTGAGAGGGTTTTGGTGGGTTACATCTATCCACTTAATCCTTTCCCCTTATAAAAAAGAAAAAAAAGACCTATTCAAACTAGCAAATGCTCATAAAACATACAATTCATCAGGGGTTTCAGGAAAAGTTTCTGCTCTGTTGACATCAATAGTGAATCTTACACTTCCATTCCCTAAAAACATGTATGCTGGACCTGATGTATGCATGACACACAATCATACTAATAAATATGTAAATGTACAAATATAAATTAAAAAAAATAAGTAGACATGGTAATATATACTATTGTACAATATATGAATATATAAACTTTAACCTTGGTTATGAGACTAAGGTCATAGGTTCAAACCTCCAAAAATATATTGAAACTCTAAAAATGATGTCAACTTCAAATATTTCTTAAAATTACGAAGGTAAACTTGTGATAAAAATGTACAAAGGAAAATACAATATTTCGGCCTCTAAGAATGATTTTTTCAGAAAATTATGGCTACAATCACTCCTCAAGATGAAACTTTCAAGGCTGTCTTTAGTAACTATAACAACAAACTATGGGCACAATCACTGCATAACAAACCTTCTTCGTAATAGAAGCTAGAACTAGGGCATCCATCATAGAGAAACTTGATTAGCTTAGTGCCGAAGCTGATAAGAATTCAGCAAGGATCATTACCTTATAAAGCAGCAGTTGAGCTTACGAACTCCACAAACAGGTTTATACTTTATATACTTAACACAAGTCCACTTAACACGAGTAGCTCACCATTGATATAAATTAACAAAAAGATTATCATCTTCCAACCAACAAGTGAGTTTAAAAACTCCACAAGCCGGTCTAAATACTTGGCACGGCAACATTTAATTGTTAACAAGGAATTCAACATCGGGTTATTAGATTTTGTCGATTCGAAACTTGCTTATAAGTTTTTCTATGCAAATAATTTTCCATAATCCTTAACAGAAACACAAAATATTTCAGAGAAACCATATTTAACAAACTAACTAACCATGAATAAAGTTGGTTCCAAACTTGCTGAGGGAGTAAAACATAGTCACGGCCCTCTAATAAAGTATCACGAATCTCAACACTGGAGTCGGGGTTGGAGTCCTCTGACAGCCCATCGGATATCAAATCAGAATTATCGATTCCCGAAGGCCTTTTTAAAATGCTCAAAGCGGGTGAATCCCCTGACAAAGAAGTGCTTCCTTCGTTGTTGCTGTTGTTGCTCGGCTGCTGCTCCTGGTTCACATAATCAATCCAGTGTTGCCACCATCTATTTGAAGAAAATTTAAAAGAAAGTGAGAGAGAGTTAAAAAAGAGTAGCAATAGCTAAAAACATGGATTACAGAAAGAAAATAGAGGGGAAAAGTGGATATTAACTTTTGAGTGATGAGAAAAAAGAAATCGCCTTCTTTGGTGTTAGCTTCAGCGGCGATAGCAATGTCTCTGATTAAAACCCTCTCTTCTTCGGGACCCAGTTCCTTCGTTGACGTCGTCGCCGCCGTCAATGTCTCCGTCGCAACCTCCGTCATCACTCTCTAATCTTTATCTATTCCCACAGCAGGAATCCAATTAGCGAAAATTTTCAAATCTCAGACGGTTGGATTAGCCCTTCAAACCAATAGACAAACCCTTTTTTTTTTTTTTTCTAAGCTGAAGAACTCCTGGAAATCGAAACAAGGTTCTTTTTGGCTATTCCGTTTTTCTGTTTTGGTATATATGTTTTTTTTTTTTTTTATTTGGCTCAAAAATCTGGTCCAAATAATGACGCTTTTTTTATTTCAAGTCCAACCTTTTTTTTTCCTTAACGCCCAACCATTTATTTCATACAAATGGCCAAAATTTTAAGAGTGTTTCCACAAAGAATCTTGAAGAAATTTGAAAGGAAAGTCATTTAAATAATGATGTTAAAATATTAGTATTTGTAATTATTTTGTTTGAATAAATTTTTTTAGAAAAAATTTTTATTTTATTAAAATTTAATAACATAAAAAATTATTATGAAATAAGAATAATAATATTAAAGATAAAATATATATAATATGTAATATTAGTATAATTAGATTTGTAAAAATATATAGATATTATTGATAATATAAAAATAGTTTAAAAAAATATTAGAGTTAAATAAAAATATTTATATTTAATATACTTATCAATTCATAATTGTTATATATTATCACTGCACTTTTCATATAAGTGATTAACAAAATTAAAACTTGAAAACCTTAAAAAATTAAATATCATAAAATAGTAAATAATTAAAAGATATTTTATAAATTTTTTTCTTTTTTGAACTTTTTTTAAATTTATCAATTAATGACATAATAAATTATGTGCCCTGATAATATAAGTATTTATATATTGTTTATATATCAAATATAGACTATAAATAAAATAATAACAAATTGTCAAATACATTAACAGTGTAAAGTTAACAAGGTAACACATACCCCTTAATGTATATTTTAAAAAAAACTAATTTAAAAAAGAAATAAGACATGTTATTTTGTTAATCTTGGTTTTGAAGTTAAAAAATTTGTACTAATAGTGTATTAAATAATTTTTTTATTTTTTGAGTTTTGTATTTTATGACAAATCATGTGAAGTAAGAAGAGATTTAAAAGAATTTTAAAAATACATCTTTTTAGGTGAAATTTTAAAAAAAAATAATTCTACAAAGTATATATAGTTAAATTACGGATTTAAGATTTTTTTTTTATGAGTGTCAACTTATAATATATATAACTACCGGCAAATTTATCAATTTTATCGATAAAAATGGGTGTCCAAGAGAAATTCTCTTAGTTTCAAGATAATTTTCAAAAGATGTTCCATATTGTAATATATTTGTCCCAAACTTTATCATTGATTATAATCATTTGTTAAGTTTCATCCCAATCAAATCCATTATGGCCAAGTAGGGTTTTAACACTACCATATTATAATAGTTGTTAAATATATTTAATAATTAAAATTAATCTTAAAATCTCAACTAAAGGCATTTCTTTTAGCATACAATAATCTAACAACGATTTTTCATTAAAATTAGCATAGTGATGAGATGAAAACAAGAAAATGAATTTAGAGTTGGTTACCTAACACTCGAAATAGAAAGAATGAATCCATTATGTTTGATGTGCATTGCATTTGTGAGAGGCACACATAGATCAACAACAACATAGCAACAACCATTTAGAATGATAAAATTAACATTTTTCCTAACAACATTTAAATTTGGTTTCATTTTCTTTGATCGTTTACTTAAATTCTGAGATGACAGCATAAAGAGCAAACAAAAGGAAAATATTTAGAGAAACTAACTCATTAAGCATAATGTTAGTTGCAATATAGATTTCAAACGTAATAGATGAATGATAATTGGGTTTTAATTTCAAAATAATTAACACTACAATGATATGGAATTCTATAATAATTCACTGAAAGTAGAACATATGAGAATTAATACATCAAATTCATAAACATAATATACACCTATTTCTTAGATATAAGCAGTCCAAGTGCCTTTTGATGAATATTTATGACTTTTAAATCAATTGTATAGCTTGAACCACCTATCCCTTTAAAAATTAGAATCGATGTGGAAAGATAAAATTTCAAAAACATGAGAAAAAACCATCTTTCCAAACTTAAGCTATAACAAAATCTATCTAAAGACATTACCTCAAAAGTAAGTTTTGTTTATCATCAAATACTCATTAAGTGAATACTTTTGCAAAAGACCTACCAAGTCAAAAGAAATTTGTAGCAAGTGTAATAGAAAAACAAAAAAACACCAAAGAACTAGGCATTAAAGTCTTTTAGAGCAATAAAAGATATCTTACGCTTAGCTTATTCATGGCTTTAGTATAATTGCTTGCGAGTATCTTCCTTAAAAGAACAATAGGGAAAAAAATACATACTTCTATTGTATTAGATAGAAGCCCGCAGTCATAGCATAAACTCATAATGTAAAGCACAAACATCTAGCAATCATAAATATTTTATTAAAATAATACTATGTACAAAAATCTATAGACATTTTTTCCACTTTTAAAGCTAAAATTTTTTCTTTAATTTTTACATTATTAGGTACACTAAAATCTATTTATGAAAAAATAATAAGAGAACAATAAGAATATCAAATAATATATTTTAATGTAGTGGGTTTCCACTTTAATATATGCATAGATGAATGACCAAAATTGTCACGACATCTTGGTAAAGGGATAGGTTGACCCAAAAATTGGATGAAAGGGAAAATTTTGAAAAAAGGGGCTTGAAAATATTTTTAATAAAAACAAAACTAAAGGAGTAGTCACTAATCTTTTTTAAGGTATAATTGACCATTCAAAAAAAATTTTTGTCCTTTCAATAAAACATTTTAAAATGGGTTTAAAAGGTTTTTAAAAAAGAACAAATTTGACATCTGCGAAATCAAAGTTGAGTCTAAAAGTCGATTACACGTGGGTAAAATATTAGCACCACTACAACATCCATCGAAAATGGTACTTCAATTGCATGATATCCTTTAATTTTGATTAAAATGGTCCTGTTTTACTTAATGTTCAAAATTAATTCCTTTTCTTCTTTTTTTTTCTTTTTTTTTCTTTTTTTTCCTTTTCTTTCCTTTTTTTTTTTGAAACAAAAACAAATCAAATTTAAAAACAAAGTTTTTTTTAGATCAATATAAAAACACTTTAAATATCGATATTTAAATCAAGATAATACCTCTCATAAATAATAATCACCGATAACTCCCTACAGCTGATAAAATTTTGATGACTACATTTATTTGAGATATTATCTTATTTCAAAAAAAATTTTTAAAACTAAATTTTGAAAATAAATGCATGAATATAATAACATGTGATGAATGCATGACAATATAATATAGATGATGAAGTGTGACTTTATGATAATATGAAAATGCATGCTATGACAATGTAATATGAAATGCAAATGCATGACTGGTTTACAGTTTGAGGGTTGGTGTTAGGGTTTGGGTTGGGTCTAAGTTAGTGTTTAAGGTTTAAGGGTTTAGGTTTAAGTTTAGGTTAGGTTTAAGCTAGGGTTTGATTTAGCATTTAGGTTTGGGATTTAGAGTTTGGACTAGGGTTTGGATTTAGGGTTTGGGTTTAAGGCTAGGATTAAAGGTTAAGGTTTAAAGTTTAGGATTAGGATTTAGGGTTTAGATTTAGAGTTTGATGGGAGATTTAGGGTTTCAAGTTTGGGGTTCAATTTTTTTTTTTGGATTTTATGAAAATGGATAAGAAATAAATTCAAATTACAAAAATACCATTAATGAAAGCATTTGCCAAATGCAAAACCTAGAAAAATGATTACTAACTAATGTATTTTTAAACTTAATATCACAAACATGTAATACATAAAAATTCAAAATTAAAATGGATTAAACATAAAAACTTTGAATTTTGGTTTGAATGTCCCACAATTTGTTCATCATTAAACCCAACCAAACAACTTATAAAATCAACAAAATCAAACATCAAAACAACTTTTTCTTCATTACAAATTTGATTTAACATTCTAAAAACATGAAAATCATGACAAATACACAATTAAACAGATAAGAATCAAAACCAAGTTTGTCACAAAATGAAGAACAACATTCAACCAACATTAAATTCACAATAGCCAAATGGCCTATGGCACTTCCAATCAATTTTCAATCATCTCATTTCACTCAAGCATGCCTCATTGTCTCATCAAACCATCATGTAAGAGTATTAACATTATAAGAAGAATCCTACCAACATAAAGCAAACTAAAATAGCCAAGAAATCATAAACCAATAGAACATGAACCAAACACTAACATATATTACTAACCAACCAATAATTATATAAAACATTAATAAATTCATCATCTAACCATCATAAGCAACATTTTAAAGCAACCAAACATCAAGGAAAAAGCCAAGAGTAGGTTCGGCCATGGTAGAAGAGGTTTGGTCAAACTTTCAACTTGGTTTTTAATGGTGGAGTTGTTTTGCTTTCTTTAATCCTTTAGCTCAAATCTAACTATGGGGTAATTATTTGAATGCTTGGATCAAACTTGGAATCAAGAACACAAATAACTATGAAATTTTTTAGAAAATAAAAATGAAGAGAATCAATACAAAAATGATATGAAATGAGATAAAAATGCAAAGAATGCAAGGTGAAAAAAAAAGTAAGATTATACCTCTAAGCTAGCAAACTTAAAGAATTTTTTCTTACTTTTTTTTTTTCCATTTTTCTCTCACTCTTTTCCTCTCCTTTTCTCCCCCTTTTATTGCATTTTTCTAGCCCTTTTTTGGTTTTCAACGTGAATGGTAACCAACAAAATGATGAAAATATCTCCAATGCAAGTCAATGTTAAACCATTGTATTAAAAGCTCGTCCAATAGTCCTTATTCTATCCTTGTTTTTGCAAGGTGTGAACTTTTTCCATTAGATTTACCTTCCTAATATGATTTAATGGTCTGAAATAAACACTGTCAAATGTGTTATTTTTATAGCCATTAAAACTAATGAAAATATCATTTTGCCCTTAGTATAAAGTTTTTTGTCTTTAAGCCATTTTCTTGAAAATCAATGTTCCTATGCTCATTTTTTTTTTATTTTAAAACTCTAAAAATATTGAAATATTATGAAATTAAAATTTAAAAATTTTCGTAAAAATCCAAAATGAGAAGGTCAAATTACAAAAATACTCCTAAGGTATATTTTAGTAATTTCACATCTCTTGAAGTATTGCTGTGATTTCAAATGTACCAAAAATCATCAAATATTATAAA